TGAAAGAATCCCTTTTTCTTAAATGCCACTCCCAATGACAAACTGGCCTCTAAATTTTTAGGGAAATTATTTCTTGGCCTTTACTAAGTACTCGGTAAATACTTACTGATAGCCAATTGAGGTGAATTTAAAGATAACCATTTAATAAAAGTAAAGCTGGATTTTATGCCAAAACGTGGCCCATGGAAAAAGTGATCCGTGCTGTGTGGCAGCCCCAGGCTTTGCTGTAGAGCAACACGGAGACAGAGCTGAGAGACCGGGCTCAGTTCTATGGGAAGGCAAAACAGCACAGCTATTCATTCAAACCACCCTGGCAGAACTCTGTCTCCTGCAGAACACAGCGAGTGCTGTAAGCACCAGGGATAGAGATTTTAGCTTGCTGTTTATAAAAGGATCCTGTAAAAGGAAGCTTTGTTCTATAATTAACAGATTGCCAGATACTTCAGAAACTTTAGATTTAGAGGACAGGCTGTCTTGCTACTCACCCATTTTAAATATCCTTCTTTTGCAACTATCACTTAAGCAAAGTGTCGATCACTGTATACACCAGAAATCCACTAGAAACACATTCTTACAAAAAAATTCAAAACACTTGAGAAGGTACAGTATCTATGGAGTATGACATCAGAAAAAATAGAGCCTTTGCTTTATCTAATGATTCTTTCTAAAACAATTGGCAAGTTGAAGTGGAGACATGTAACTTTTGATTACATTTATGCAATCATCTCTTCTTTTAAAAAGCAACAGTAACGGATTAACTTCTAGCATTAGAGAAGTTTACTAACAACTAAACACTGGCTACATTCTTAGTGCAATACAATCTTTAACACATCTACCAACATGTACACACTTCAAATATTGGCAAATTGCTTCAAAATGTAATTCTCACTAAGTTTTGGTAACTTATTCACAGTTCACTGTTAGAGTTCTTGGACTTACAAGACATGAAGAAGAAATGACCAACTGGCTCAGGAAACTAAACATTCATCTTAAAAGAACAGAAAACTGAAACAAAGCAAGGATTCTAAAATCTCCAGCTCACAAAAAGTATAACTTACACAAATATGAAAAGTTTTATTTAAGCGAAAACAAAATAGCCACAGAATATTTTAAAAAGCTAACAGGATCATTCCCATATTCATTCTGAGTACCGTAAGAAAGGTAATTCAAGAATTTCCTAAAATGTTCTCATTAGCCATTATTGATGGTAGATTCCATAATATTGATTATCAAGCTATTACAGACTTCTAAGTTAATACAGCATAACTTTACAGTCTTGCTAGTTAACTATGATGTTCATTTTAACCCTGGAAATGACTGGTTCAAAGCTAATGTTATCAGTCCTATTGGTTGTCATGTCATAGATCTGAAGATAAGGTTAAATTCATCAAGCTAGGAAAATACTGATGTTTTAACTATCCTTAAATATTGTGAGAAAAACTCATGTGTTAGTATTTCTGAACTTGAGGTTAAAAAAAGTAATCTGAAATATGTTTTCATGGATAAGACACTCTATCCGGTGGTCTGGTATACAAAATCCACTAAATTTGTGGATATAAGGCTAAACTATCTTCCTTTACCATTTCCTTCCATTTCTTTGGCCTTCACAAATTCTATGCGAGCTATGATTTCTTTTTCAATAAACACTTTCCAATGACATTGTGCTTTTAGAAAAATCACTTAAATTGTAATATACAATAAATAGTTAACATTAGTCTTTCCCTTTTATTGCTACAGTATATCCTAATTTTTTTTAAGATAAAACACTGACTCCAAAAGACTTCTTAAAATGTTTGTTAAAGCAAACACTTCAGCTGGTCTTCCTTCTTTGAAGGTTTTAATATGAATAAGCGCCAAATGAACATCACCAAGGAGCTTTAAAGGGGGGGGAGGCAGGGGGCTCCTTTCCCCCTGTCCTCATTATTAGCTTAGGCCAAGAGACCTGTATTCAGAAGGATAAGACACTACCATCTTAAAAACAACTTTCCACAAAACGTAAGAAAATCTGTGTTAGCTCTCTTAACCCCCAGCCCCATCTGCACTCCACCCTGTGTCACCTCCCCTTGAGTGCTATCTATGCTTGCTTGCTTTTTACCTGCATTTCGCCTTTGCTGTTCCTTGGAGTACCACAGATATATGGTCTAACCAGCCCGTGATAATAGCTAACTCTACAAAATGCATTTTAATAACCTCTTTTGAACATAATACGCCCCTAAACTTGGACCACTGTCTAAGTGAACGAATCTGCTAACAACATTTAACAACCCAGCTCACCTCCATTTTTCCACTCTCTCACCCTGTGCCTTGCAATCATCTTAATCTTCACCGGTGATAAGACGGCCTGGTGACAAGCAGACTTTACTTTAAACAAGATATCCTTTTCAGTTTCTTGCACACTGACTTGCCCGTAATAGGATGCTGACATATAGCAAACTAAAAACAGTTAACATTAATTTTCCTCTTATCATTTATATCTATGGCATAGGTAATTTAAAAGAGATAGAAAAGCTGACTGACTGCAGAGTAACAATCATTTACTGGGCCACGTGTTAGAGGTTACACACGACCCCAGCCTAAAAAGGGCTCATGGCTGAGGTAAGAAACTCTAAGTTACATATGAATGAATTTAAACTTTAAATGTGCTACAAGAAAGAACTTTTTATATAAAGGACTCCTTTTGTAGAATATCTTTCTTGGAAAAATCAGGTTTTCTTATCCTAGATTACATTGGTTTTAATTGGGCATGTGTACTTGTTAGTGATTTGCCTCATTACAGTACTTTTTGTGTTCATAATTAATGTGTAAAAGCATTTAAAAATCACTACATTAAATAAAATAAGAAGCAAGAAGGGATGAAGAGAAACCATGTTTATTTGGAAAATACCACTTCTTTGTTCTTTAATATCAGCTTTTGATATTCAATTCAGAACATATCCTAGCTTGAAGTGTGTGTGTGTGTGTGTGTGTGTGTGTGTGTGTGTGTGTGTGTGTAAGAGAGAGACAGACAGACAGCCATAGAAGAGAAAAACAGAGAAACTGAAAACTAATGATTGATTTCACATATTTGTTCACTTAGGATGCTGATTCCAACTTTTTAGGCCATTAGGAAATGCCAAATCCATACAAATCAGAAACATAAAATGCATAATTTAACAAACAGAAGAAATGACTCTAAAACATATACTAAAATTAGCAAGCCCAAACAAAATAATCTCAGAAACATTTAAAATACATAGATATAGCCATAGTAGCTATATATAAGATGTAAATAGTAACCTTACTTTATTTTTAGAAACAATCAGGTTTCTAGTCTCCATCTATGACAGTCCTTCCAAAGTACCTCAAAATATGCAAAGTATTTTTTCTAACCCTAATACACAAGCAGAACTATGTGCTGCACTTGCAGCAATTGCTTTTAGAAAATCTTAACCTCATCAAGAAATTCAAACACAGAAAAAAGAAAAAGGCTGAACTTACTTAAATAATTATGCTAAGTATCTTCACAATTTAAAAGTGAAAACTTTAAAAAGAGAAGGACTTCACCAAAACACAGACACGCTGCCCTATAACCCCCAAGATTTGGCAAAAAAAACCCCATGGGGAAATTATTACTCAAGACATTTTGGGTGTCAAACCAATATTCTACTCTATTTTAATCTAAATTGTTAATTTCCATTTCCGATGTAAACCAGCTGAAGGCACCTCGATTTCACTTTATTTATTCATATCTTCTTCATTCCTAAATATATTTCAGGAGTAAAACACAGATAATAGAGAAAAATACCTAGGAAGTAATGCAATTTGATGCAATTTTTGATTATATTTGATGCAATCCTTCACTAGTCTCAGTGTAAAGCATACGGCTTTCTAGAAGCCTAGCCCAGCATACACACTTAGAGTCAAGTGATTAGTCAAAAAACTTGCAAATCTTCCAAACTACAGAGATCTTCCACCTGGCGCAAAGGTACTAGTTTATGCAACAAGGCAGTAAAAAGCTAAAATTCGCTACAAGACAATTTTCCTCAGGGCAAAATTAAAGAGAAATCTACATATATCAATACTGATTTAATCTCAGACATTTAGTAACAACTTTGTGTGGTAATTTCAAAGAATAAGATAAACTAAGTCATTCAGCAGTCATTAAACAAAACAAAACAAAAAAACTACAGATATTAGAAAATAGAAACCAGTTTTAGAAAATGGAAAAACCAGGAGTAGGACACCCCATCTGTATGTCCCCCATCTTCACACTGAAAACCATGTTGTCAGTTGTCTAAAGCAGCTCAAATTTAAAAGTTTGTGCTATGAGATTGTGCAAATAACTTGCTGTTAAGAACTGGAAAAAAACCAATGCACTACACTCTAGCTTCCTAAGTGAACTCAACTTCCACCTAACAAGCAACAGGTCTGAGAGACTCAGGTTAATGTAACTTACATAGAAATCCCACCAAGAAATTCCACCAAGAAAAGCTTTCACTTTTTAAGTTCTACAGTTTGATTTAAAACCAAAACACAAACTTCAAAACAAATCACAGCATCTTCTCTTTACACGTAAACTTAGCAAGACCTTAATTAAATGTCCAACTATTAGCATACATTGCTGCTGGCTTCAGATATCCAATTAAATGTACTACACTTTCTTTGAGCTGAATGAATAGAAGCTCGGTAAAACAAAGGCCAATTATTCTAAAAACACATAGTCCTCCCAGGCTGAAGTGGAGGACCCAGAAATCCAACATCCAGCATCCTTTAAAGAAAATGAGAGCTAAATCTCTTTGTGATAACAATTCCAATATAAATTCCATTATTTAAACTCCCCCACAAATTACTGGAAAAATATGAGGTAATTTCACAAAAATCACAAATTGAGTGGAGTAATTATAACCGATATATAAATAAGGATTTACTAAAAAAGGCTTCGAGGGGTGCTATTTTAAATCAAGGTGTTAAATACAAAAGGTGTCTTGTGTTGCTCAATCGCCCAGAGTTGCAGATGCTCCTTATTCTACAGTTACAGATTTGGCAAGGTTCCGGGGGAAATCAACCTGCAAAAAAAAGAGCATTATTTGAATATTGTATAGACCGGGGGGAGAGGAGCAGTTACTCTAAGCAAATTATTTTTGTATATAAAACCAGAAAACAACATGTTCATTAACCATGTTAGTTACACACTACAAAGAACTAAAATGGGAAAATACAATCAAATAATGTATCTCAAAAGTCTTGAAAAGAGGAAAAAGGATCCTGAAGGAGCAGGTTCAGCACAGGAAGTGCTCCTACGGTCCTCCATAAAGGTGGCAGCCCTCTCAGGGGACACTGGAAGTGTGGAAGAGTGGGACGTTCGATTGTCAGAGTGACTGCGAGGCCAGGAATGCTAAGTCCTGTGGTGCGTGGGGGCATCCCAAACAAGAACTGCCAAGAGCTACCCCAAAAGAAACAGGAAACACAGAGGTGTTCCCCAAGGAGGTCATCTCTACTCTCGGAGTTAGGGTCCAAGGTTCCTTCAGGTTCTGTATGTAAGAAAAGGTTATGATGTAACTTACAAATTGGGCCATGCCGCTGTAACAGGTGACAGATAAATATCTGAAGGATTTCTCAAATGCTATTGCTAAAAATTTTAAAGGAAAACTCTCAAAGTGAACTGGGTAAAAAAAAAAAAAAAAAAAGTCCAAGATTTCTGCAGGGGCCCATCACGTACATCATAGCCTCTCAGCACAGCAAGGTGGAAAGCCAGCAACTGTAAGGGGATCACACTGAGAATGCCCTGCAAGCAGTCCACGGAGTGGGGCACCTTGATTGTTCTGTTAGTGTTCTTAATGGTCTCGGTATCTTCCTTATCACATATCACCACTGGGCGTCCCTGGGAAAGAAACACACACACACACACACAGATGCACCATCACTGGTAAGCAACGGCAGGGCTGTTGGACGTGAATGTGCAAATTTTGCACTGCGCATCTGCATGTGGCCTCACTGACTCACAATCCCACGTGGTAAATCAGATTGATCTCACTTATAGCCAAGGAAACTGAAATTTTGTGGGATTCAGTAATGGGTTTAAACTCACAGAAACGAGAAATACCCGGCTCAGTACTTGAATCCAAGTCTGCCTGCCCTCGAAGCTCAATTTCATGACCACTACATTGTGCCCAGACAGTAATATCTTTGAGGCTTTATATAAAAGCCAAATGATCTGAAGAAAACTGTTAAGCACAGCACCTGTAATATTAATGTAAAACCTAGTTCCTCCTGAAATATACTTTTAAGAATATTAACTTAAGAGGGAGCAGCATACACTAATAAATAGGACAAGATCTGGAGACTAGACCTCAGTTTTGGTCTTGGCGGTGCTTATTATGAGATCTAGGAGCCGGGTCCCGTCAAAACTCTTCAGCATCTCCGATTCTTCACATGTAAACTTAAACATGTTTTCTAAGCCTCCTACCGGGCACTGGATTATCACTTTAAATGTCATAAAATTCAAATAAGCTTTAGTGACCCAACTCTTAGAGAACCCCGGGTCCCCTCACAGCAGCCCCTAACTTACCTGCCTTGCAACCACCTGCTGAAGAGCATTCTGACACTTGGCGTAAGTGTGATCTCTCATGATAATCATGATGACAGGCATCAACTTATCCACCAAAGCCAGAGGGCCATGTTTCAATTCACCAGCAAGGATGCCTTCAGAGTGCATATAAGTGATTTCTTTGATTTTCTAACAGGAAAGAACTAGATTAGTCTTCAGTCTGTTTTTCAAAAACCCATTCTTAAGGAAGTATTACACAAAACATCTGGTGTCTGAAGTCACTATTTATCCAGAAGTATTAAAGGACCACTGGCCTGTAAATACAGGTTAATAGATCATTATTTCTAAACTCTCAACAAGTAACTACAAGTTTTAAAACCACAAAACTTTTTGAAGATTTTAGGTGACCATGAATATATTCATCTTACTCGGTGGCTATTCTCTACTTGCCTCATGCTTGACCTCAATTAAATCTCACACCTAGAAAAAATTCAATCTTTTATTTATTCATATTTGGACAACAAATTAACCAAGTTACTTGCTAAACCCAAATTACCACACTAAAATGTACTTTTCTTGATTTTCACTTTTGAATTAAGTATTGTTACCCTTTCTCAAGATAACAAATCAGAGCACATAAAAACAAAGGCATTTTCAAAAGTTCCACCTATTTCATTCCATCTAAAAATTATGGCTACGTGCCAGGTCCTCATGTCCAACAGACTGAAATTACAAGTGAGAAGACTTACTAGTGCCCCTTCAAGACAAGTAGCATAATGATAGCCACGTCCCATTATCAAGACTGACTTCTGATGATAAAGTTCCGTTGCCAGTTTCTGAATTTCATCATCCATGCTCAATACTTCCTTGATCAAATCTGTTAAGAATATTAACAAAGTCTATGAAAGAAGGACAATAAACTGAACTGATATAGTAACAATAATATACTGGTAGCAACCAACAAAAGACCAGTGCTTCTATCTTCTGTGATCTCAGTGAGGGGTTTTTAAATACTAGGCAAAAAAGATCTTTTTGACTAAATAGCTATAAACCACAGCGTCAAGGACAAGAAGAGAACTTCGCCCATTAGCTACATCCTCGGACAACAAAAATGTACTGTGTGAGCATCTTCGTACCAGGCAGCCGCTTCAATCCAAGCATGATCTCTTTGCGTCTCTCTTGCATGGAGATCCTGTCATCACACATCATGAGGGCAAACATCACAAGGGACACAAACTGGCTGGTGTAAGCCTGGAACAACGCAAAAAAGCACAATTAGCTGCAGTTGCATTTTAAGAACTTGGAATTTTTAATGTAAAACGATGAAAATAAAGACTTTCCTCCCATTAGTTTTACAAATATGTATTGCCCATTTTTTAAAATAGCGTTAGTAACAGCGAACTGGACCAGTACTTGAGAAATCTATCACTATTCTCCCTTTCTGAATTTGAACAAATGACCTAACTTTTATTTCCAAAGACAAAAACAGAAGTTCCTTCTAATGCACTAGAAAGGAAAAGCGAGCAGAGAGTAACTCTGCACATGCACGACCAATTTAAGTTTTTGATAGAAGTCAAAAGCAAGGCACTCACTGAAGAATCCCTGAGGTACTTATATTGGTTTGGTTGGATTTTTAAAAAATTGTTCTTTCAGGGGTGCCTGGGTGGCTCAGTCAGTTAAGTGTCTGACTTCAGCTCAGGTCATGATCTCGCCATCCATAAGTTTGAACCCCGCATCGGGCTCTCTGCTGATAGCTCAAAGCCTGCAGCCTGCTTGAGATTCTGTCTCCCTC